ATTGATAAGAAATTACACAATCAGCATATTTTTCCCCATTTGCAATCCAAACAAGTCTTCTGTCATCATGGAAGTCAAAACAAAATCGCTACTCGTCTGAGAAGAGAACAAAACACCAATAACATTATTGCCAAACTTTTGTGTTCTGTTGCCCAGTGTATTCGATTTCTGCGGCACTCTAATTTTAATACAGGACGTACGGCTGGTCGGCAAGTCTTGAGATTTGCTTCCTGAAGTCTGTTTCAAACTGTTTGAGTAGAAATCCGTCTGCCCGTTGCTCTCTGATGCCCAGTATTGAGCTTAAGACACTTTGAAAGCGGTGCGTCTCAGCAAGATTGGCCAAAAAACGATCCTCACAAACTGCCGTAAACCTTTTACGTCCAAATTTTAGCCTTTTTGACAATATCCTGCCTGTAAATATCACTTCCATAACCATTAATTCCGCTTTGGGAAAGAAAAAGTCTTTCTGCAACATGGCGTTGCGTTTTGCCAGCTTCCAGTATCTCTGCTGCCATGGAGTGTTACTCATATGCCTCCTCATAGCGCCGTATCACTAGTTCTGGCCAGATATACCAAAATTTTCATATGCTCACTAAAGAAAACCCTCTTTGATACTTCTATTCTTCCATTGTTCCACTTACTTTTTTAACGCCACGTACTTTCTTGACCAATATGTCTAAAAACTCATTAAACAAGTGTAACTTAAGTATCGAATCATGTAAATGACATGTTTTTAAAACTACTTCAGCCTTGTTGTCACTTAAATTCATGGGATATGAAAATATTATTCTTGTGTAAAAAATGATCCCTAACTTATTTTGCCCAGATATATCTTGCCTTCCTTCAGACCTATCAAAATATTTTCACATAATCGGGTATATCATTTTGAAGCCATAGATTCATTTTGATCTATCAAAGAGACTTAAGGATTCAGATAACTGTTATGTAAACAAGTATATTTAAGTGTTATTTGAATCTACAAACATATATACATAAGATCACAAATCTCTGCAAGACGTTATCGTTTGTGTTGGCTTCATCATGATAATTTCGTTATGTTATGAATTTCTTTAAACATCTAAATAAGCGTTGGGAGTAAAGAAAAACTGTATAGTTAATACTTAAATGAGACAATATATAAGAATTGTATTAGCTACATCACTCATCATTCATTCGGTTTTTTCGGAGCCTTCCTCATATATCTGGTTACAAGAAAATCTATATTGTTTTTTTTTCAAGCCATTTTAAGCACTATTTAAAGCCGGTGTGACCGATCGGCAGGGGACGTTCACTCCTCAATGGTACCTGATCCCACCTTTGATGTTATGGAGGACCCTGTTTTCTCTGCTCATACTTTTTATTGTTTTATGGACTTTTAAGCTTGATTTCTGTTCGTTATCGTCATATATTTCATTAATAAACAATTTCACCAAATTAAATATTTATAAATGTCTTCAGATAGAGCTGTTAATTTTTTACGTTTTCTTTGCAATCTAGAAAATCATCGTTTTTATATAACAACTTCAGCTATTAACTCGTGATATGTAAGTCAAGTCATATACATGTCTGCGCACAAGCAAGGTAAATGATTACTAGTGGTTCCTTTAATGAACAATATAGCTAAATGGATCAAAAGGTATGCTTACATTTTGATGACAATTTTCCGGTAGGTAATTCCACAGATAAAGTCTTCATTGGCATGTCTGAATATTTTGACAATACCCTCCGTTTGTACCTTCATAAACATTAAAAAACATGAAAAAACAATATGGTTTTTTTTAATGAAATTTCCATCTGAGGGGCCCCGTCGGGATCCGGGTTAGAATAGGTCCTCAGTACCCCTGTGCTTGTCGTAAAAGGTGACTAAATGGGGCTGTCCTTCGAATGAGACCGTATAACCGAGGCCCCGTGTCACAGCAGGTGTGGCACGATAAAGAGCCCTCCCTGCCCAAAGGCCGTAAGTGCCGAGCATAGGCCTAAATTTGCAGCCTTTCACCGGCAAAGGTGACGTCGCCATATCAGTGAAATATTCTGGAGAGGAACGTTAAACAGTATACAATCAATCAATCAATCCGTTCGATTTATATCTCATTTATACCGTATTTAAGATTAAATTTTATGTAAAGACTATAAAAACAATAACTTCCAATTCAATATTAATTTATTCAAATCATAATTCAAAAAAATATGCATAGGGAATAGTACATAATTAACGTTACCTTAAAAATAGGACAACGAGTACGACAGTGATTATAATAAATGTGCATGCTCCTAATATACCACCCACTGTTGAAGCATTCGTTGATGTAGATTCAGCTTCTGATGAGTGAGAGTCCTTTACTCCTAAAGAAGCAATACAGAGTTAATTATTTTGATAACTGCATGATTACATTGCAGAAAAAATATGGTTGCACTAACTTGTAAGTTCATTATAATTTACATATTTTATTCAAAGAACAAGGTATGACTTCAAAACAAATCTTGCCCTGTGATTTTCGTAAAAATGAAACTTAAGTAAAAGACGAAACGCATCCTTTCTAAATCAATTAAATTCCGTGCAGAAAAATCATACAAATTATTTTTCTCACGTGCAATTTTAAATTCTAATTGTGAAATCATAAACATGTGCATTTTCTCGTATTTTCTTAAGAAGTAGCTAGCTGAAGACACAAATTTTCAATGGAAACTTTTTTCAGATAAGATTGTCCACATACATCGCCCAAAAGATTTTTAGACCTGTGATTTTTCATTGAATTTTGCACAACATATCCAAATATTAAATTTGGCGACGGCTGTGGACACTATTTTCTGAAGGAAAATTACTCTTGAAATGGGTCATTTAGAGGGTTTTTCTGTTTGAAATAGAGAAATGCATCAAATTGACGACGTCATATTTCCAGAATTGTATTATTTCATGCCATACTTCTTTTTATATATCACGGTGATAAACTCGACTACTATTAAGGTAGGATTTTTTTTTGGTTTTTGACTAGATGGAATATTCAATGTATATTTGCTTTTATGTCTTATATATTTAGGTGAAAGATATTTAAAAGACCATCATTTTTTTCTTTCCTCATCACAATTGTAAAACTTTACATAGAAATAGTTAATTGTGTTCGAAAACTAGCAGGAACTATATTTTTGGCGGAATGGTGGTGAATGAAAATATCTTCTTTTCTGCCTCTCAAAATTATTATAGAACTACGAATTTAGTTATAAATTTTTACACAGTCAAAGACTAAAAGAATTTTTCAAATTTTAGCTGAAATAATAAGCAACTAAAGTTTCAACATATAGCAAATAAATATGAATTTCCAAACTAACTACAATTATATCAGCTTTTAAAAGCTTCAACTCTAAGTACAGATATTAGCCAAAAATCCGTAGAAAGTGGTTTTACTCTCTTGCTAAAACTTTTTGTTTTTGTATCATTTTGCATCATTTTATGACTTCTTTACCTTATGTAAAATGAGAAGAATTTCAATATAGGGCGCATATTTAAATAACTTAAATTATCCTAAAAATTTAAGACAAACAGAGAAAATTCTGATTAGCCAAAATCCATTTTTGTTAAACTTATTGTGTCAATTTGGTAATATCATCTTATATAGACCCTTTGTAATAATATTATTTTATGCAAAAAGAAAAACATTTAATCTTTTGAATTATAAGACTCTTTCTCATAATTGGATGCAGTTATTTTTATTCTTAATGACTGGGGAAAAGGTGATGACCTTGACCTGACCTTGACTTTAATATAAAACGGTCAAAACTACTCTTTCTTATACCATCATTTAGTAATACCGTCTTTCTGATTCTGTGAAAATTTCGTTAATTTTTAAATACAAGAAATACAGTTTTGTTTGAGAAGAATCCTACCTTAAAGCAAGTTTCAAAAGTTTTATGAAAACATTAAATTTTCTGGGAATGATAAAGCCAAAACCAATACCTTTTCTAAATGTAACGTTTTCAACAGATGCATACAAACGATACTTTTAAAGAATTTACTTCCTCGTATATTTTAATCTAAAAAATGTAATAATTATATGATTCTACATTTTAATTTAAAAAATCTGAACAATGTATTTCTAGTTTGAAAAAAAAAACATGTTACATAAGTTTTCTTAGATACATTCTACACTTAAGAAAACTTATGTAACATGGTTTTTTTCTAACTACAAAGTACATTCTACAATGTATACTTAGTATTTTTATTTTGAACTTCTCTCATTCAAGCGCTGGATTAGTGATTTCATGGTCGAGGATTTTTCTTCGAATAACTATAATCATTTTTATGGAAATTTCCATAAATTATATAGTAAATAATTAATGATAACACTATAAACAAGAGAAAATTGAAAATTGTCAAACATCAATCGGGGATTGTAAATCAATATATGTGTATGAAATACTACCCTTTTCTGAAAGAAGTTAAATAACATGAACATATATAACTTAAATTTAAAGTTTAGTCACAGGTATACGGATATAAGGATAGAATAAGATGTAACTGAAAAAAGATAAACATCTGTTAAATTTTCACCTACTTTGAGATTGAATGCAAGACCCATCAGTGTGCTGACACGTGTAGTAACACTCCAAAGGGCAAATTCCCGTGCAGTTTGTTCCAAAATGTCCTTTATTGCATTCTAAAGAAAATAATTTTTTAATACAAATTATAGACTCATTTCAATTACAATTTTTTGAAAGAAATACAACAACATTGATATTTCTTTTCATTTAATTTATGAATTGTCCACAGATAATGCTTAGTTTCTTACTGTTGGAACAGTTTATTCCAGTGAAACCATCTACACATCCATCTATGCATGTTCCGTTCATATGATCACAAGTTTTATTCTTACATGTTTCACTGCACTTTTCACTGCATCCTTTTCCAAAGGATCCAGGTGAACATACTGTTGAAGTAATAATTGTTGATGTTTTATGAAAAAGAAATCTGAACATAAGAACACTAGAACACAGTATTAAAACGTTTACTCACACTTGTCGCAAAGATCGCCTGAATATCCCGGGCTACAACCATTATCGCAGTGTCCATTTTCTTTGTTGCAGTATTTGTTATCCAAACAGTAACCACTACAGTTATGAACACAGTCAGGACCATACGATCCGGCTTCACAAGCTGAAAAATGTTTTGTTAAGCCGATTCTTTATTTAATAACACCAGTGTTAACGTTATTATTAATGTCAATGAGAAGAGATGGAAAGGACATCACCTAAAAATTAATCACAAATGTTTTTTTACGCTGTAAAGATTTGTCAATGATTTCGAATTTGCACACAGGAGTAAAATAAGAGTACATAGTAATAAGGTCAGAAAAATAAATCATGAAAATAAAATCCAAAATCAATTATATTATTTAATGTCAGCAATTTGGGCATGGAAACATAAGTTTGCAAGAAAACATTTTTAAAAAAATTAATATCTACGTTTATTGCATAGCCTCCCAGTCCACCCATCTGCACAACCACCTTCACAATATCCTGTCACGTGGTTACATGCAATGTTTCCTCTGCAATATCCAACACACTGCTTTTGACACGCAGTGCCATACCATCCCGATGGACATTCTTCATAACGAAAAAAGCAAGAATGTGAAAAACAAAATAAACATACGCTGTCGAAAAATATATTTAATTAGAACGGCCACGTAAAAAATACTTTTCTATTAATTATTTCATTTTATAATCTTACTGTCTGTACACTTGTCTCCTATCCACCCTTGACCACAACTCAGACATATTCCATTCACAATATTACATTTGTTTTCATAACAATTTTTTGGACATAGTAATGAACAGTTAACTCCGTATACTCCTGTCTTAGCACACCCTGCAAAAATTAAGACATAACATTGTTGAATAATAACTACAGATATGTGATAAGCTTTATTAGGTCAGAGGAATGAACACCTCTTCAAAACGATTTGTGAAGAACAGTACCTCACAAGTTCATACTTTATTTTATACATGTATTTGATATAGAATACAAAACTCTAAAACAAAATTAGAACAAGATTTGTTTGCGAACATTTATGCCCCCCTCCCCCAACACTGGAATTTTTCTCTAAGTAAAAAAGGGCACAACTCTGTCAAAAATGGCGTGATCGTATCCAAAAAAGAACGTGACCTAGATATTCATCTGATTAATCTGTATACTAAATTTCTTTCAGTGTGTGCAACCTCTGCAAAGAAAATGATCGGAAACTGCAAATAAAGTGAATTTTTCTAAGTCCAAGGGGCATAACTCTTTCAAAAATAGCGGGATCATACTCAAAACAGATCTTGACTGACCTAGCTTTAGAGATTTTTGCATTGACTGCATGAAACCATAAACTATATATTATACACTGAAATGTATATTTAAACATGGTTATGTACATTGGTTTTAAACATGTTACTGTGAAGTGTAAGTTACATGCATTGATATCCATTCAGAATATATGAGGTCTTCCAAACCTTCTACTTTGACTTCACATAACTGTGTGTATGTCGGATTTTGATATCCTTCAGGGTACGTAACTCCGTCCAGTCGTTCATTGTAATAGATGACGTAACGACCATATCCTATACATGTTGTATTAAACTCCAAGGGAGGTAATGGAATCGTGTTCTTGTAGCAAAGATGACCGTCCTCTTTGTTTCGTGTGTTGGAAATGTAAAGGGAAAATCCAGCAAATCGACCTTTTTGTCTTAATTCTGAAAACAGATTCATATCATAACATGAAACACCTAAAATCTATTTCGGTAATTTATATTATATTTTGTAAAAGCGTAAATACTAATAATGAGTGAAAACAATGATATGCATAACAAATAATTAAGTCTTTTTTGTTCAGAGATTTGGAACATGTATATTTTTATCAAGCTATTTTTAAAATAAATAGGGAAAAGGAAATGTATCATTGTTTATGTAGAATTGGAGTAAAATATATTATATCAGTATCAATGCATACATCTATCATTATTAACCAATGTTGAATAATCTCATTAAAGGCTGAGCCCGCTAGATCCTTAAAACAATGACTGTGTCATTTTACCGATACACAGCTGAATAATTATATAGTGTCAGACTAAACCAGAGACGTTCGAGCTTTTCATTCTAAAGACTTCTTTTATCGTACACTTTTACCTAATAGAGTAAAGTCTAAAAATGAGTTGAGACAGTTGTCAAAATGTATAATGAGTTCTTTAAAATGAAAATGTGTTGAGGCAGTTGTCTAAATATATAAATGAGTAATTTAAAATAAAGATATTCAATTCATCAGGGAAAAATAAATATGTCGACATTAATTTTTACCAGTTAAGGAAGTAGCTTTTAAATATTTTACTTACTCTGGTTAATACCTCTTATCCCCCGTGTACAAAAATCGTTTTGCCTTTGTTTCTATGTTAAATAAACAACACTACACAACAGTATTAAAATGGGTAATTTTTAGAAGTACAAAGTCACTGCAAAAGCGGATGGGTGAACAAAGCGTGCAAAATGCATATACATGTAGCCTCAGATATACATCTTTTGGAAATATGAATTAAGTATTAGTATTTATATTTCATTTATGAAATTCATTAAATTATGATAAAAGAACTTTTCTGAATAATAAATTAACCTTGGTAAAATATCTCCTTTTATTAACAAATAATATGTTTATCGTGGGGTTCGAACCCTAGCAATAAAATCTATTTTATTTTGCATTGAGACTAACAAGCTAACCGCAACTCTATACATCTCCTGATGAATTGTCGTTTTAAATCATGTTTCAGATATGACCCTTGACTTGATGATGTAAGAGTATTTCTCCGAAAGATGCGAATGTATTACATGTACTGTTATTTAAGTGCCTTTCTTAGGTTTCCTCTGAGTCTGTCCGTCCGTCCGTCTGTCCCGTCGTCTTGTCTGTCAGTTTGCCCCACTTGGTTTTCCGCACTTTTTTTCTAAACACTTTGTATCTTGATAAGTTACAGATCAAGTTTAAATGTTGTTTCACGTCATTGATTTTTGACGGAATTATGTGACTTTTATTTTTTCATCATATGGTTAAGATCGGCTTCGTGCTGCACAAAGTTAATTATCAAAACGAGATTGTCATGGGAAAAATTATCGATTTGAAATTTCCTACGTAGCTTTATAGTGAAAAACTAAATGAAATGTTCTATCTTTATCCTACGGACCCGGTTTAACGACAGAATGCATTCTGTGTTCAGAAAATATACAGCAAAGAAAAATTACGGGAGATTACTCTACCTCTTGCTCTTGGCACTGCACACCTGCTCCAAATGTCAACGTGGTAAATATGAAGCGAGAAAAAGTCGTTGAAAAAATGAGTTGGAAGTTCATATTTATGTGAATATTTCTTTTTAGGTTAAAGGCATGCACAACCTCAAAATTTTAATATCAAGCACCTTTACCTTGGCCATAAGCACCACAACATAAATGCTTTCAAAAAAATATTTTTTCCGCATGTTGGATAGACAAGTATTAACTAATTCAGTAGTTATTTTCAATCCAAACCTTTTTGTATTCTTCAAAATCGTCTCGAAGCGATTCCCATTCTGCAATTCTTTGCTACATTACGAGTGTTTGGGAAGCATTTTAACTGTGGTGAGACACAGTTAGATTACTGTAGTTTGGCAAATTATCAAGATGATTTTAATTTCGCTATGTTCGCTTTTTATAATTTTTCCGCAAAATTAAACCCATCTTAATGTTATTAATAGTTTTTAAATTTTTTAAATGCTTAAACGAAATCAATTTCTTAAAACGTAAAATTAAAACCGTTGCAATTGGTATCTTTTAAGATATCATGGAATTTTAACACCGTGGAATTAAAACGACTTACACTATTCCAGCTCAGTGACAAACCAAAGATCAATTTTGATATTTTTATATAACTGTTTTTTACTCATGTAAAGTGAGTTGTTGCGATCAAAACATGCATATGGCTCTTTGTTAGACAGATCGACATAATTCAAACTTAAGAAAATTCATTCATTAACAAGTAAGACATCCTAAAGAGAAAGGGGAACCCGGTAGGAGGCATGCTTATGCAATACTTTCAGACTGCTTGTTTTCTTTATTTCTTGAAAAGTCGTTGTTGATTTTCAGTCAGTAAACACCGTTAGACATATCAACTGCACAGATTTCTTGAGCAGTAATTCTTCCATCAATAAAACGTAAAACGTACAGATGTATAAAGCAATATTCCATATGCTTAAGGATGACGTTTACTCAGGTTTTAGAAAACAGTAAGGAAATTTTATCAAATGTAATATGTTAAATCAGAAAATAATTCTAAATGGATAAAATAAGTAAGTTTTAAATCAAAATCTATTGAAAAATTTAATATTTTATTATTTAAAGAAAATATACAGTAACAAAAGTCAATGTATGGTAATGCAGAGGAAATTGGAACTAAATTTTATTTATTTATTTATTTATTTATTTTTTTTTTTTTGATTTTTGTTAAAGATTTTTATTTCTTGCAATATTAATCACAAGTAAGGGTTACAAGTATTTTTCAGCATCGTTTTGCAAATATTACATGTGTTAAAGCTCATTAATTATTTCAAATAATTGAATGCTGTGAAATAAAGAAATTCAAAGATATGTACAAAAACCATTCCAGACAACATATCTCAATAATTTGATCACTGACCCCATATGATATTAATACCATGAGAATTAGGGCAACAAAATAATCTGAGGCTACAAATTGTTTAGAGTTCTTATCAGTCAGATTTTTGTAATATTCGATTAAAAATGCGGGAAAAAATTTAAATATGACAGAGGAAATTCGGACTGTAATAATTATCATATTTTTGGCCCAAACTTCAATCATTTCTTTATATGAAGCAATGAGGTGCCATTGCTATAATAGTTCATTATTTAAAGAGTTTACTTGCTTGTTATATATTGTGTGTATAGAAAAATTGGTCATAGTGTTAAAAATTGAGGTATTTCCCGAGAAATACTCAGGGGCTACTGGCATGAAAAGTAGGTCATTGATATAGTTATTTGAAATTGAAATTTAACAGAAGAATTATAGGTGTACAATGTGCAATAGGTTGTTTTTCGTTCTTATCAGTGGAATTTTTGGTCATCTGAGGAAAGGTATACCTTAATCACACTTTAAATGAATTTGGTACAGATTCTTAAAAAGCAATAAAATGTCTTTGTTTGCTAGTACGGAAATTTACATTGCAGGTATGTAGAAAAAAAATAATGTAACTATCGGGTTATGCATTTTTCCGAGAAAAATTATTTCCCATTCTAACAAAAAGCAAACAGTTTTAGTATTTACATTCATTTGGTATTTGTATATATATTCTTTTTTCAATAGACCAGGCTTTTCAGGAACAAAAAATAAAATGAAGGTTTTCGTACATTTTTTTGCAAATTGTTAAAAGGAGAAATTACACGTACATATTAACACATACAGTGTAGTACATGTTTGCTTATACGTATCTTGCACGAATAAATCTGTATGCAGTGATACTTGTATGTATCTTCTAACAAATAACAATTTCTCTGACAAGATAGCATTAGATATCAGCAATTTATCTTACCTAATGTAGTATCATATTCCCGAAATTGTATACTGACACTGTACATGCTGTCAATCCCACCAAGATCGACAGTCCATGATGTTGATTTCTTTGGAGCTTCTTTACCTACGGCATCAGTTCTTGTACAAGTTTCTCTCAGGTCATCAACTGCACGATTTGGATCACACTTTGGACATTGATATAGGGGCAAAATTGAAGAAGATTTTCCTTTCGATAAATTATCTTCGAATTTAAAACAAAAATAACAATTACAATTAATGAAACAAAACAGTTTCATGAATTAGAAAGAAAGATATACAATGCAGATCATTTTGGTTATATAGCATTAAATAACTGATGATTTTTTAATCATCACTTAATCATCATCAGCTGAATATCTTAATTTAAAAAAAAAAAGTGATTTGATTTCAAATAAAAAAATAAATGAATGTTAGTTAGGGGAAAACGTATTCAGACCACTGAATCACAGAAACACGAAGTACTTGTAGGTTTTTTTTTTTTTTTACATGAATTGTAATTTGTCTTAAAAATATACATGAAAACTTAAAAAAAAAATAAAGCATTTCTTTACTTCAAAACTTTTATAAGGGTGCCCGTTGTTCTCTTCCAAATTCAGAAGAAACTTTTTCTCCTTAGATCCACCATTTAAGATTTCATAACACTGTGTTTGATTTTTTAGCTCACCTGAGCTGAAAGCTCAAGTGAGCTTTTCTAATCACATTTTTGACTGTAGTCCATCCGTCCGACTGTACGTCTGTCTGTCTGTCTGTCTGTATTTTTTTTTTTACATTTTCAACTTCTTCTCCAGAACCACTTGGCCAATTTTAACCAAACTTACCACAAAGCATCCTTTGTTGAAGGGAATTCAATTTTCTTCAAATGAAGGGTCACACCCCAATTCAAGGGGAGACAATTTTGAATTAGTGAAAATTTTACTTTAAAAATCTTCTCAAGAACAGCAAAACCAGGATAAGTCATTTTTGTATGGAAGCATCCTTAGGTAGCAGGTAGTGTAGATTTGATTTTGTTCAAATCATGACGCTGGGGGGGGGGGGGCTGCGTAGGGGGGACCACAGACTTAAGGAGTAAAAAATCCAAAGTCAAAGAAATATACAGCATCCTTGGTACATGTA